TCTTTTCTCAGGGCCAAACATGCCCAGAACCACTTTCTCTAGGATCTGGTTTCTGCCCTCTTCCGCTTTCTCTATACATGCAGGGTGAGGCCCTGATCTGGAACTGGCGCTTGGGGGGGGGGGGGGGGGGGGCTGAGCAAAGTAAATAAAGTTGGAAGGATTTAACTCCCCCAGTTTGGAAAAGACAGCCTAAAATTGTGTTTACCTTCCCTTTCCACCCCACCAACCCCGTGGCCTCATAATCCCAATTTGCAGGCAAATGGTCCTTGCTCTGCCTCCGTTCCCCACCCCGACTATTTTCGGTGCGGCTGCTCTTCTCCTTCTCCTGGACTTTGGATTATTTTTTTTCCCTCGGTGAAATGATTTGCATTCTCAGTTTCTTCCCATTGTATTCAGTCTATTTTTTTATAACCTCGAAGAGCAATTTTAAATGTTATTCTCTTTTGGGGGTTAAACTGCCCTACCCAGGTTGTCATCTGCAAATTTGATAAGCGTTCCTTCCGTCTTTTCCTCCAAGCCCTTAGTAAGGACACAGAAGGGAGCAGTGACCTTTGATTTAGGGTTCGTGCTCTTACATAATACAGCTGATACGATTACTCTCCCTATATTGTATAATTTCCTCCTGCTATACCGGAGTGGATAGGTGGGGTGGGTGGGTGGACGGATGCTGGGGTCTGAGGAGATGAGAGCTCTGAGCAGACGGACCAACCTGAAGGCTCAGTTTAAGACCACCTTGGTGGATTTTGCCCCTGCCCCACCAAAAACTATGGAAGAGGGAGATGCCTCAAGATGTGAAGTGGGATCTCCTGCCCCCCCCCAGAGCATCCCTGTCAGTCTGGGCGAGATGGTGCTTCAAAGCGGGGGAGAGCAGCCCCCTCTGGGAATTGTAGGCATTTTGCCAGCTCCCCCCCCCCGACTCCCCCGGTGGCCACACAGGTCTTTCTGCAGGCCGTTCTGCTGCCTCCTTTTGAGCGGCCAGCTGTAAAATTTAAAAAGTTTTGGCTTTTGCAGATAGCCGGACTCCTCACTTCCTTGGCATTTTTTCCAGGAGCCGTGAGCGGTTGTGCATCTTACATGGGTGCCACTTACAAAGGCCGAGGCAGACGTCAGGCCTGGCAAGATCTCTTCGGGTGAAAATGCTCTTCTCTCACCCATCCTCTGTCGTTGCAGCCTACCCGAACCGGCAGTTCGGCCACATCCAGCAGCACGGCGGGGCTCTCTGGCTCGGCCTCAGCCTCAGCCGGGGAAATGAGCAGCAGTGAACCAAGCACCCCGGCACAGACCCCTTTGGCTGCCCCCATGGTGCCCGTCCCGGCTCTGGCATCCCCAGTGGCTCCTCCAGCAATCCTGTCTCCAACAAAGGTGAGGAGGGGGAGGAGGAGGAGGAGTGTGTGTGTGTGTGTGTCCGGTTGCACATTCGCAGCAGGCATCTTGGGAACCTGGGACGGGCTGCAACCTCCAGATGCCCTGGTTGCAGGTGTCGGGTATTGCTGGTGAGATCCTGGGTGCGGAAGGGCCTGCTTCCTGTCCCCCCCTGACTCCTCTGGAGTCAGGCGGCTTGCAAGGGGGGCAGCCGAGGCCAAGGGCCTGAACTGGGGCTCAGCATTATGGGAACACAGCCCTCTTTCCTAAGGTCGAGCCAAGCCAGGCCACAGGTAGCAGCCTCAAGAGACACCCCCCCCACGTCTTCTCTGTGGCCAAAGGGTGGAAAGAAGAGGATCTCTTCCCACGGAATTGCGGCCTTTTCTTACAGACTATCCTTGCAGTGAAATCCAAGGCTCCAACCAGTCAGGATGGGACACTCCCACAGAATCCCCAAATCCCAGCATTGGCCCCTCTGAGGGTCCTGCAAGTCGAAAGGCTGCCTAGGCCGCCCTTCGTTCCTTAAGCTCCCTTCCTTCCTCCGAGGCAGACTCTGGCTCCTGTGAGCAGGCCTTTTGCCCTCCCTTTGCTTTCAAGCTCAGTTCAGCTCTTGGCCTGCCCCACCCCGGAAGTCCAGAATCCACGCCAAAGTAAGCACGAAGCCGGAAGGTCTCCAAACTTGGCCACTTTAAGATTCGTGGACTTCAACTCCCAGAATTCCTCAGCCAGCACGACACCCAATGCCTGTCTGAGGAATTCTGGGTGTCGAATTCCACCAGTCTTAAAAGTGGCCAAGTTTGGGGACCCCTGCAGTAAGCACAACCCACAGCCAGGACAGAAGGACGGCGACAGGTTTGCTGCGAAGAAGAATCACACGTCACTTGGCGACTAAAGGTGGTTGCACCGTTTGGTGGGCCCGTTAATCCTGTGACCGACGGTGCCAGGATGGCAGTTCAGGGGGCAAGATGGCATTCCCCCTCCCCACAAAAATGAATGCATTTCATTTTGCTCGTGGCATTGGTTTCATTTGAGAAACGATCCCACCCCTCGCTAGAACCAGGAATTGGACAAGAGTGGATGATCTGGAGCTGCCGGGGGGAGGGGGGTGGGTGGGGAATGTAGCCAGGGGGTGGAGGGAGCCCTTCCTCCCAAGGGAGGCCAGGGTGATTCAGAGGGCCCCTCCCTCTGCCCGGCAGGAGGAGGAGTCTCTGCGAGGGCAGGTGCGAGACCTGGAAGAGAAGCTGGAGACCCTCAAGATGAAGCGGAACGAGGACAAGGCCAAGCTGAAGGAGCTGGAGAAGTACAAGATCCAGCTGGAGCAGGTCCAGGAGTGGAAGAGCAAAATGCAGGAGCAGCAGGCGGAGCTCCAGAAGCGCCTGAAGGAGGCCAAGAAGGTGGGCTGCTCCGCTTCGGGAGGGGAGGGCAGGCAGGCAGGGAGGAGACCCCGCCGGACTTTCCCGTTGACGGAGCCGCCTTGGGACGCGCCGCCCGGCTCTCCTTTTGCTTGGCGGCCTTCTCTCCCCACATCGCCCTGATTGATAGCCGCCAGTCGGGGATCGGGCCCCAGGGTATCAACCACGTTGCAAGCCCCGTCTGCTTCCTCCCGGCCCCTGCAGGAAGCCAAAGAGGCCCTGGAGGCCAAAGAGCGCTACATGGAGGAGATGGCCGACACGGCCGACGCCATCGAGATGGCGACCCTGGACAAGGAGATGGCCGAGGAGCGGGCGGAGTCCCTGCAGCAGGAGGTGGATTCCTTGAAGGAGAAGGTGGAGGATCTCACCATGGACCTGGAGATCCTGAAGCATGAGATCGAAGAGAAGGGTGAGCCACCCCCACACACACACACCCCAACAGGCAGGCTGTGTGGGGACTGGAATGGCGAGTGCCTTGAGGGCAGAGCCACCACCTGACCTCTGGGCTGCAGCCTCAGAAACGGTCCCTGCTATGCCTCCAGGAGCTCCTTTCCCCAATTGGGGTGTTTTCGGGGGGCGGAGGGGGGCTTCTCTCCCCTTCTCCCCCTTGTGGGCCATCTGGAAGCACCTAGGCAATGAGGGCAGCTGACGTGGCCTGGGGGCTCCGGACCGCCTGACCCACAGCTAGGAGCGGGTGGAAGGGTCACGGGAGGAGAGAAATTTGATGAAAATACCAAAGGATTCAAAAGAAAATTCCAAAAGCACAAACGTTTTGCGCAAATCTATGGATTCTGCCTCGCGTGGCCCTAGAGGAAGGCGTATTCCAGAGCTGGCGACAGACTAACGGCGGACATCAAAACGATCCAGACTCTGAAATTTAAATAGGTGGACAGACAGACAGACAGGGCAGGGACACCACATTTTTGTTTCATCCACCACTTCGTACGTTCTCTGTGAACCCTCTGCGTGTGTGTGTCTGTGTGTGGTTTCCAATTCTGCAGGTTCTGAAGGAGCTGCCTCCAGTTACCACGTCAAGCAGCTTGAGGAGCAGAACGGCCGCCTGAAGGAGGCCCTTGTGAGGTAGGCGCACCGGCCGCTGGCGAGGACAGCAGGAAGGGGGGGTCGCAGAGAAGCTGCCTGGGTGGAGGGGGCCGGGTGGGGTGCCCAGGCGCCGGGGCAAGTAGTAGCTGCCCCCCTCCACTCCTTTGGCTTCGCGGGGGAGGCAGAGTCTGCTCCCCTCTCTGGCCTGGGGGGGCTGATTCCAGCTCCCTCCCCCCTCTTCGTGCCCTGGAAGGATGCGGGACCTGTCTGCCTCGGAGAAGCAGGAACACGTGAAGCTCCAGAAACACATGGAGAAGAAGAACACGGAGCTGGAGGCCCTGCGTCAGCAGAAGGACAAGTTGCAGGAGGAGCTGAAGCAGACCGAGGGGACCATCGATGAGCTGAAGGAGCAGGCAAGTCGCCGGCCAGGGGCGTCGTCGGGCCAGCTCCGGCTCCCTCGGTGCTCCAGAGACTAGCGGTGGTTCTCCCGCACCGCCCCCTTAACCCTCCTTCCCGTTCCAGGTGGATGCTGCTCTGGGGGCCGAGGAGATGGTGGAGACGCTGACCGAGAGGAACCTTGATCTGGAGGAGAAGGTCCGCGAGCTCCGCGAGACGGTGGGCGATCTGGTGAGAGCAAGGAGGACGGAGCCCGGCTTGAGGGCGGTGCCCATAGGGGGCTTGGGCGCCAGAGGGAGCGCGCCACGTTTGGTCTCCCTTGAGAAAAGGGGTGGGGGTCTTGCTCGGGACGCCTTCGCTATCTGCTCTGTGGGCGGCCCCCTTTCTACCCCCCTTCTCCCCCCCCCTAGGAAGCCATGAACGAGATGAATGACGAGCTGCAGGAGAACGCCCGGGAGACGGAGTTGGAGCTGCGGGAGCAGCTGGACATGGCCACGGCTCGAGTCCGCGAGTCGGAGAAGCGGGTGGAGGCAGCGCAGGAGACGGTGGCCGACTACCAGCAGACCATCAAGAAATACCGAGAGCTGACGGCCCACCTGCAGGTACCGGCGACTGCAGAGGCGGCTGCAAGCCGGGGTGACCCAGAGGGAGAGAGCCCCCAGGAAGAGGTGCCCGGATCCAGGGTTGGCTTCTGCCCATCAGCTGCCCCCCCACGTTTTGACGTGGCCCAAATAAGGGAGGCTGAGGGTGCCGCACACAGAACGCCAGCTTTAAGCCCACCCCGTCAGGGGTCTCCTAGCCAAGGGGGAACAGCCCTTCGCCTGGGACGGTCTGAGGGTCTCGGCCCCGGCCCCGCTTTTCGCTGACGCTGCCTTTCCGCTCCGCAGGACGTTAACCGAGACCTGATGAGCCAGCAAGAGGCCTCTGCGGAGAGGCAGCAGCAGCCGCCGCCCGAAATGTTTGATTTCAAGATTAAATTTGCCGAGACAAAAGCTCACGCCAAGGTAGGACGGCCTCAGCCTCAGCAGCTGCCCTCTTGTTCCTGGCGGCTCACGTAGCGGTCGCTGGGCGGAAGGGGCCAGAAGGATTCCATTATAACTGTTCAACTGGGGGGCTAAGGCACCCCAAAACATGCTCCAGGCTTGACCTGTGACCCTGATGGGGCCGCAGCGTTCCTTCTGCTCTGGTCAAAACAACTCCTCCTTTCTCTTGGTCCAGTTCTCCAGCCAAAGAGACTCTCCACAGCTCAGGGCTGAACTCTCCGATGCCCCCTGAGCCGCTGGCCTGCTGGCCGACATTTCCCTGCCCACCTAGGTCAGGCTATCAGTGCGAGTAGCGGCCCTGAAAACCTCACACTCCCCTGCACTGAAGGGGTGAGGCAGTTGGGACATGAAGCGCCTGCAAGCAGCGGCCACAGCTCAGGGGGAGCCCGCAGCCCCCCCCCCCCCCCCCCCCGGTAACGTGTCTTAATGCAGGCTGTGAGCCTCCACGATCGTTCCAGTCCCGCCTCCTGTCCTCCAACTTTCTTTCTTCTGTTGCTTCCCTTTCTGTGGCGGATGCCCAGGTGCATTAAGTCTGGAGCCAAGGCGGCCCCTGTTCTGCTCCTGGCCTTGAGCTCTGGCCCTCTTCCCCGTCCCTCTCCTGCCTCATGGCCCCCCTCCGCCCTTTCCGGTCACCCGGTGGGGCATTTCTTTACCCGGATCTGCTGCTGTGGGGAAAAGCCCGTTTTAAATGAGGGAGGGTGAGGCCAAGAAGCCCAAGCAGGTAGGCTGGGACCTACGTGGGGCATTTGAACGGAGAGGGAACACCCGAAGGCCTTCCCCTGGGGGCCAGGGACCCCCCCTCCTGGCCATCCCCGGGGCTGAGGGGGATCCCCCAGGCTGGGCCCCATCGGAGCACTCTTGCCTTGCAGGCCATCGAAATGGAGCTGCGCCAGATGGAAGTGCAACAGGCCAACCGGCACGTCTCCTTGCTCACTTCCTTCCTGCCCGACAGTTTCCTGCGGCACGGCGGGGACCACGACTGCGTCCTGGTGCTGCTGCTGCTTCCCCGGCTGGTGGGCAAGGTACCCGAGGGCGCCTGGCGCTAACTTTCCCTCCCTTTGGGATCCCGGCTTGTGTGGCGCGAGAGGCGATCTTTGCCATTCAAGCGTTCCCCCTTCTTCCTCCTCCTGGAAGCGGTTGGAGAAGTCCCTGAGCGCCGAGTTCACCTTCAAAAATCCTCCGCTTCCGATCGCTGGCCTGCTTTCTTCTCGTTTGAACTCCCGTCTGCGATCAAACTCGGACTCCGCTTAGCGGAGAACCCTGTTTTTTTTTTTTAAATCACAATCAGTGAGGTTTCCACCTGCTTTGAACAGGCAAAAGAATATCCTTTCCCTGTGCAAAAATTGACATTTTCGTAAGGCAGAAGAAGATTATGAATAGCCCGGTAGTAAATTATGCCCAGCGACTTCTTGTAGCTGTGATTTAGGGCTGACAGCCCCCCCCCACCCAACCCACCCCCCCCCGTCAGAGGCAGCAGCTCTTTTAGGAGGGAGAGATCGAGTGAGTCGGATCAGGTCTCCCTCCAGCACCCAGGATCTGGCTACAGCAGCACCGAGATCTGGAGGTGCAGGGGGGGCTTCTGGAGGGCAGGGTCGCCTCTAGCCCCCTTCCCCCCAGGCAGAGGGTGGAAATGGGGGCCCGTCTGCTGAGGCCCCGACAGCCCAGGGGTGGGATTCAAAAACTTTTACTACCACTTCTGTGGGCGTGGCTTAGTGGGTGTGGCCATGTGACTGGGTGGGTGTGGCTTTTTTTTTGCAGGCCCACCCACCCACCCGTTTTGGGGAGCTTCTTAGCCACAAAGGAGCCTCTAGGGAGGCGTTTTTGCTCCCCTAAGGCAGGGGTCTCCAACCTTGGCAACGTTAAGCCTGGAGGACTTCAACTCCCAGAATTCCTTGCTGGCTGGGGAATTCTGGGAGTTGAAGTCCTCCAGGCTTAAAGTTGCCAAGATTGGAGACCCCTGCCCTAAGGCTCCTCTGGGGCTCTGGAAGAAAAGGCACAGAGCATGGGAGAGGCATGTAGCACCCCCCCAAGCTCCGTTTTGGGAGCTTCCTAGCCTCAGAGGAGCCTCGGGGTGTGTGTTTTTGCTCCCTTAAGGGTCCTCCGGGGCTCTGGAAGGCAAAAAATGGAGGGGGGGGGGGCTGAGCTCCTCTCTCCATTTTTTGCCTTCCTGGGCCTCAGCAAGAGGAATCCCAGCACAGCTGGTCTTATCTACAGCTGATTGTTGGGAGGGAAAAAAAACACGAAAGAAATACCTTAGGCCACAGGTGGGCAAACTTTTTGGCGGGGGGGGGGGCTCATTGACTTTTAAAATTTGACAGACGGGCCGCCACCCGGTGTCGAAATGCCTGTCATTACAAGTCAAACTCAAATGAATGCAATCATTCAATCATTCACATCAAACCTGAATTCTGTACCAATCTTCGGCGGGCCGGATTAAAAAGACCAACGGGCCGGATGCGGCCCCCGGGCCGTAGTTTGCCCACCCCTGCCTTAAGCGAATGTCAGGCAGGCAGGCGGGTGAGCGAGCATCGGGCGGGAGGGCGACCGGGGCTGGGGTTGGGGGGGCGTGGCTAGCCAGAACTTACTACCGGTTCGGCGACCCACGCCAAATTCTTGCTCCCGGTTCGCCCGATCCGGTGTGAACCGGCGGAATACCACCACCGCAGCAGCTCCTTCCTCTCTGAAACAGGCCGAGCTGATCAGCAGACAAGCGCAAGAGAAGTTTGAGCTGAGCGAGAACTGTGCCGAGAGAGCCGGTCTCCGGGGAGCACCGGGGGAGCAGCTGAGCTTCGCTGCTGGGCTGGTCTATTCTCTGCTCCTTCTGCAAGCCACGCTCCACAAATACGAACAGTGAGTGGGGGGGGGCATGGCCGGGCCTGGGGAGTCTTGGGGGAGGCCCGGGGCTTGGCCCAATGGCCTCCTCCCCTGACGCCCTGCCCTGCCCTCCCAGGGCCTTGAGTAAGTGCAGCGTGGAAGTCTACCGAAAAGTGGGCTTGCTCTATCCGGAGATGTGCGTGCACGAGAGGTCCCTGGACTTCCTGATTGAGCTGCTGCACAAGGACCAGCTGGACGAGACGGTCAACGTGGAGCCCTTGACCAAGGCCATCAAGTACTACCAGGTGCAGCCCGGGCGGGGTAGGGAGGGCGAGGCCAGGGCGAGGCGGGAGCGCAGCTCAGCAGAGCTGAGAAGGTCTTTCCTTCCCCTCTCAGCACCTGTACAGCATCCACCTGGCTGACCAGGCCGAGGACTGCACGGTGCAATTGGCTGACCACATCAAGGTGAGGGGAGCCAGGTTCCCGCGTGAGCCCCTGCAGGGAGGGCTGCTATATGGGAGGGGGAGGTGTCAGGCTTCTCTTCTCTTGGCTGACACCCCCACCCCACCCCCCGGGGGGGCAGAGAGAAGAGGGCTGCATGGTGGCGCTGGCTTCGCCCTGCTCTGAGCACGGCCGTCTTCCCTTGCAGTTCACGCAGAGTGCCTTGGACTGTATGGGCGTGGAGGTCTGCCGGCTGCGCTCCTTTCTCCAGGTAAGAGTCTTGCCTGACTCGACCGGCCAGTACCCCGGAGGGCCGAACCCGGCTGAGCCTCCCTCTCCCCTTCTGCAGACCGGACAGGAGGCCTCCGACTTCGCCATCCTCCTGAAGGACCTGGAGACTTCGTGCAGCGACATCCGCCAGTTCTGCAAGAAGATCAGGCGGCGCATGCCGGGCACCGAGGCTCCCGGCATCCCTGCAGCCCTGGGCTTTGGGCAACAGGTGAGCGGCCCGTCCAGCCTCCCCCACCCCAAACCGGTGGGGAGTAAGCCTCCCCTGCCTCCCTCTGCTGAGAACTTGACGCTGCGCTTTGCTTTTCGCTCTCCTAGGTCTCAGAGACCCTGCTGGACTGCCGCAAACATCTGACCTGGGTGGTGGCGGTGCTGCAGGAGGTGGCGGCTGCAGGGGCTCAGATGATCGCCCCCTTGACCGAGAACGAGGGCTTGCAGGCCGTGAAACTGGAGGACCTGGCCTTCAAGGCCAGTGAGCAGGTTAGCAGGAGCTGATCCAGGCTTGCCCCTCCCTTCCCTCCCCCTCATCCGCTCAGTGGATTCATTCCAGTGCAGATGGGATAGGATCTCGGCTCCCCGGACAGGGCTGGAACCGATCGGTTTGCAGAGATGCGGCTGCAGGCCTTGGTTGCTTACTCGGGCCTGGGATCCTGAGCAGAATATCTGGCCGCGGGGGTGGGATTCCTGACCTCGTTTTGTACCTCTGAGAAGGGGGTGAGGGAAAGGGCTGCCAGCAGTTTGGAGTGGCCAAGGCCGCTTCGGTTCATGCCTCTTCTGCTGCTGCCATGGTCCGGGGAGGTGGGGCACTCATAAGAAAGGCCACGTTGTCCACGGTCCTCCAAAGCTTCCCGGGAAGTGGGCATGGCACCCTTCTCTCGTGGCTGCAGACCTTCCGGGAGGTCAGGCAAGGACTGAGTCCAAGATTCCTTCCCAGATCTATGGCGCGCAGGGCATCAGCCCTTACGAGTGCCTGCGCCAGTCCTGCAACATCCTCATCGCCACCATGAACAAGATGGCCACCGCCATGCAGGAGGGCGAATACGACGCAGACAAGCCCCAGACCAAGGTGAGCCCCACGCCGGCTGCCGAGCGTTTGCCGGCAGCTCCCGGCTGGCGCTAGGAATGGGCCGGCAGACGGGAGACGGAGCTCCGACGAGCCTGTCCGCATTTGCCTTCCCACTTAAGAGCTGCCCTTAGAGCTCGGAGAGGGAGGGTCACCGTTGGCAGCTCTGAGTTGGAGAGGTCATCTCCGGATCTCCTGAGTGAACGGCCGGTCCGTTCTTTTGGCAGCCCCCTCCTCCGGTTGAGCTGCGGGCAGCCGCGCTTCGGGCCGAGATCACGGACGCCGAGGGCCTGGGGCTCAAGCTGGAGGATCGAGAGACCGTCATCAAAGAGCTGAAGAAGTCTCTTAAAATCAAGGTACGCTTGGCCAGCCCATCCGCCACCTCGGCCTGCGCCAGGGGAGCCTCATCCCCCTGGCCGCACGCCTATCTCTCCTCCCTGCCGTCCAGGGCGAGGAGCTCAGCGAAGCCAACGTGCGCCTCAGCCTCCTGGAGAAGAAGCTGGACAGCGCCTCCAAAGATGCTGACGAGCGGGTGGAGAAGATCCAGAGCAAGCTGAGCGACACCCAGGCGCTGCTGAAGAAGAAGGAGAAGTAAGCGAGGGGCCTCTGGAAGCTCGGGTGGGGCGGGGGCATCCATCCCTGAAGCATTTCAGACTTAACTGCCTAAAATGACCAATGGGAGGAGGGAGAACCCAGGAGACGGAAACCGAGGCCGACCTGAAGTAGCAATCAAGCGAGCAGATCTGTCCCCCCCCCCACCCAACATCCCAAGCCCTCCAGAGGCAGAGGTCTCCAACCGTGTCCACTTTAAGACTTGTGGACTTCAACTCCCAGAATTCCTCAGTTTCTTTCTCTGTCCGATGAGCACCGGGGGGTGGGGGGAGATCCCGCCTCTTTCCTCCGATGGCATCCTGGGCAGCATCTCTGGGTCAGAGGGCCTTTTCTCTGCAGTAGAGGTGAGGCAGCCTTCCAGGCAAAGGTCTCCAAACTTGGCCACTTTAAGACTTGTGGAATTCTGGGCGTTGAAGTGGCCCGAGGTTGAGGACCCCTCCTCCAGAGGCCACGCTCGGCGCCATCTTGGGGCTGTCACCAGGGAGGAATCTGGCCTGAGGGGGCTTCCAGATAAGCTGCTTTTTCGGGTTGGGCTCGGCAGACCAACCGCCTCCTCTAAAAAACTGGGCTGGGGTCTGGGTTGTGGCAGTGCATCCTGGGCCCCCTCCCAGTCCACACCTGGGGGCTCTAGATTGAGGACCCAGGAACCCTAAATCTGGGGGACTCTGCCACCTGGCAGTCCAATAATTCAAGCAGCTCAGGCGGTTGTGGGGGGTGTCGCTATGCAGCAGGGCAACTGGTGCACAACGACAGCCCCTCCCAGTCTGGGCAGCCCACTCTGCAAACAAGGCTGGAGCCCGGCCATCCAGCCGCACCCGGAGCCCTGCAGGCGCCTCACACTCCGTGTCCCTCAGCTCAGGCACCGGCTGCATCCCCAGCCTTCCCCTGGGGGGCAGGGAAACAGGGCAGGAGCGATTTGGGGATCTGTCCCTGCCACCCTCGTCCGTCACCTGGGAAGAAACCGTAAAAATTTAGAGTGTTAAGCTCCCCCCACTCCCAAATCCCAGGGCCCGAGAGGGCAGGGGGAGGCCCAGGGATCA